AGACAGATTTTGATATTGCCCCTGAATTTTTAAAGAGCGTAGAACCTCTTGATGGTTGCTTGTCTATCGCCAGAGTTACTTATTTTGATATTTGCCCTATATTTTAACGATAAAGTTAAAAATGATGGCGCTACCATGGCAACAGGGACCATAATCTGGCTGAGCACAGTATCCATATCAGGTTGATTTAACAACGTTGCATAATAAATCAAGAAAGGATTCCGACACCCCTCCCCTTTACATACTCTGTCTTTCTCCCTCCCTCTCTCACATTCACATTTGTCTGCATACACATACACGCACACGCAAGCGCGCACACACTAACACACACACACACACTCTCTCTCTCTCTCTCTCTCTCTCTCTCTCTCTCTCTCTCTCTCTCACACACAGCACACACACACACACACACACACACACACACACACACACACACACACACACACACACACACACACACTCCCTACCTCTATTCATCTTTTAATAACCCGACATCGTTTGTTTCCTCGCAGTACTCTATGTATCTCACGATACCCGAAAACGAAGATGAAAAAATGGGATTCAGACGGGATGAAAATTTAGCTAATTTTTTGTTTCATTTTCCCTTTCCCCATCGCTGTCTCGAAAGTTTGGAATATTTCTTTCGTCCGTTATTTCATTTTTTTCTCTTACAGAGCTCTGAGCCTGTCGCCCTTAGGGGATACAATTTGATATTCTTCTGGGCTTTTCATTTTCGTTCAAAGTGGATTAATTCTGGTATTAACAGGCTGTATTAAAGAGTTTTTATCACATGAACTGGTTCGACACCCCGAATATTGAGATGGAGAACCAGAAAGGAAGGTTTTATTATCCTTTTTTGTGTTTTGTGAACATGTTTTGTGATTTCTGTCTGCATTGGCGGGCGATCGGTTAACTTGCAGCGTTTATCTGAAGGTTTGCGTTTTTACGAGAACTAAAACCGATCTTATCTGCAACGAACAATCGAGAGAGAGAAAACGAGGGGTAGGGAGAGAGAGAGAGAGAGAGAGAGAGAGAGAGAGAGAGAGAGAGAGAGAGAGAAGGAGAGAGAGAAGGAGAGAGAGCACAACTAAAACTGATTTGATCTGTAACGATAAGTTGAGGGAGAGAGAGGGAGAGGGAAAAAAGAGACAGACAGACAGAGAGAGAGAGAGAGAGAGAGAGAGAGAGAGAGAGAGAGAGAGACAGAGACAGAGACAGAGACAGAGACAGAGACAGAGACAGAGACAGAGAGACAGAGAAACAGAGACAGAGATAGAGACAGAGACAGAGACAGACGAATCCTTTAAAATAACCACTCGAGAATTATAGATTTCTCTAATCTTTTGATTAAGCGATATGGCAGAACTTTATTTCACCACAATAATGCGCCAATTTCGACCTAAATAGGAGATCAATATTACTTTCAAAGTAGATTTGACGATTTAATGGTTTGGTGATTTGATGATTTGACAAGTAACAAAGATATGGGTACCTAGTCCTGCACTTCTCGTGAGACAGCGAGTTAAATTATCTAAGACTACCAATATTCCCGTGTGCACAATAGTACCCAAATCATTCTTAGTGAAATCAGTTATTAAATCTTATACTGCTGGTCTATGCCAAAATTGCTGCCTATCAGATACTCGGAAAGTTGCACTACTAAGCAAGATGTTTTGCAACTACGCCTGCAGTTTACATTCTCAAAAAGGTTGTGTTACAGTTTTGTTTTGTTTTGTCATGGGAATTTCCGTAGTGTAAGATCTCTTACAATTACTTTTTTCTTCTTCTCTGTAGTTCCTTTCTTTCACTTTCTCTTTTGGGTGTGTATGTGTGTGTGTGTGTCTATGTGTGTGTGTGTGTGTTTGTGTGTGTGTTTGTGTGTGTGTGGTGTGTGTGTGTGTGTGTGTTTGTGTGTGTTTGTGAGTGTGTGTGTATAGAGTTTGTACGGGTGGTGGAGACATATAGATACATAGATAGACCTGTATACGAGGGGCACACGGGGCAGATACAGGAACAAATAAAAAACACACAAACAGTCAGTTATACGAAGAGAATATAGCTTTATGTATATTAATGATTTTTATGTTTTTTCG